GAAGAAGAACGATTTAACAGTACTTGTTGGACCAAGTTTTTGATCGGAAATTAATATATATATATTGTTCATTAAATAAGCCATGATACCTAACAATTACCAACAGGTGGACCAGAAATTTTACACAACGGCGATAAATGTAAATGATAAATATAAAACTTATATAAAACGTAAGCAATGATTGCAACAATTGCAGCTAGGTAAAAAAACATTTAGAGCAAAAGATATCAAGAGAAGTGTAATATTTTTTATTTCATCGGATCAATTTTACACTAGATTTTTTAGGTATAATCTTATATTCTAAAATTTGAAGAAAAATTAGAGCAAACGTTATCTGTTATGCCAATATCGCGAATGTATTGTTCGTACGCACATTTAATTTCGCTACCAATGTTAAGGTTTAGGGCATTTTTTTTTTGACTTTATGTTATACCTGATCTTGAATTTTAATTTGACCAGATAGCGAAATTTTTTAGGTTGGTGACGCTAGGATGGGTATATAAACAACTAGTCAAATATGGCAGATATACCCGGTAGAGGATAGATAGAGCAGTTAGAGTATATTGTATATTGCACATAGTGTAGATATGTAATAAATTACAGAATTAGATAGTAACGAAGAATTTATATAAAAACTTGATGTTTTACCTTGAATAGAGAGAATTAGGGTGGTGCTAATAACAGTTCGAGTTCAACATCACTGTAGTTCTTTACGTATCTTTGATAAAATTTTGCAGGCCACAATTTAAATGTACAATTGTAAAATAATTTCTTAATTATAGCGCTTTGCAAAAAGATGTGGCCACATGATTTTTATGATGATTAGGAAAAATTTCTGAGATTTTACATTGTCTGTTACTTCATATTTTCGATTGGTTATGTTTATATTTCCTTGAAATCGGTAAAATTCTTAAAATCTATAGAATCTCCGATTCCCATATGACATCATGATCTGCAGAAGCCACATCTTTTTGCAAAGCACAATAAAATTCGAACAAAATATTTTTATCTGACTTTTTATATCTACATCTTTTAAATGACGCTCACATTTTGTACAATCGCACAATCGGTCGACAATCTTATACATGCAAATTTTGATCAAGGATATTTCGTGCCTAAAGTAGGCATCTGTCTGAAGTTGGGACTTTCGCTTCAGGTACGTACGTACCTGAAGTTGGCATCTGCCTAAAACCGCTAGCTAGTGCGTGCAGGATGATCTAATTTCAGGGGCTAGTTTCAGTCAGGTGTAACTTCAAGCACCTGAAGTTACAACTTCAGGCACGGCAGATACATCATTTTGCAAACCGCGATAATTAAGAACCCATCACTCAAAGTTCTCGCTTTAACAATTCTCCGCTAGTAAACAAGATTCATTTAAATTGAATAGACCCGTGCTCTCGAATTAGAGCACCATGACGTAATATAGAGCTCTAATCTAAAACCTGATTATTTCCATTATTAGGGTTTAGGTTAGATTAAGTAGGTAGTATTTTGGTTGATATTACTTGCTGGTTATTATTAACGTGACCGTTTAGTCCAGTACCATTTTTCATAGTTACAACGTACGTATGTATTATAAAAATGTAAAACTTAACTATTAAACCACAGATTTTACTATGTTTAATAAAACAGGAAAAAGGCAACTAATCTAATTAAGGTTAAAATTCGATATAAAAGTCATTTCCAATTAATTATTTGCACACTTTATATTGTCGATTTTAGATACATATCCAAGATATTTTAAAATTTTAAGGCTTTTATTGTTAAATAAATTGACTTTAAACAACTAAAAATTTTTAACAGTTTTAATACAGTTTAAACCACTAAACATTAAACGATCTTATTTAAAAAAAGAATTAATAATTCACATTTGAAACCCATAAATCAATACCAGAAGTAGGTTTAGATGAAGCATCACTAGTTTTCGTTTCATAAGTATAATCTTCAACTAATCTAAACTCAAGATTTCTAATAATCACAGATATGATAGATTTGAATTCCAAATGAGCCAATTTCATCCCTAAACAAAATCTTGGACCAGCACCAAAAGGTATGAAATTATAATGTGTTATTTTTGAATTTATTTCCGGATCAAGCCACCGGGATGGATTAAAAACTTCAACATCATCACCCCAAATTAAGGGATCATGATGTATTGCGTGGATAGAAATCCATAATGGAGTATCCTAAAAGACAAGTTTTAAAGTTATATATTATTTTAATATCAAATAAATTTAATCATGGGATATTTTGAAACAATACCTTCGGAACAAAGTAACCATTCATTATTTCATCTTTTGAAGTACAACGACGGATTATAGGTACTTTAATTAATAAATAAATAAGATGAAAATAAAATAAAGTTAAATGAACAGAATAACTCAAAATATAGAGAGAAATTAAAATCATACTAGGTGGAATGAGCCTTATAGTTTCTTTAAAAACACACTCTAAATATTTCAAATGTTCAATCTCATCAACAGTTGGAAAATAATTACGATCAGTTAATATATCAGACACTTCTTTACGAAGACGATCCTGAGTATCAGGATATTTTGCGAGAAAGTATATTGCCCGAGATATTGCATTACTAATGGTCTCATGTCCAGCTGTGATTAATGTCATAACCTACAATTTAATAAATTTATATTTTAAATAAATTTAATAAATTTATATTTTAAATAAATTTAATAATATTATATATTTAATATAATATTTCAAATAAAAATTGAAAAAATTATATATATTAATAAATAAATTCTTACCTGACTAAATAATTCTTTGTGTGTTAATTGTTCATTAGCTGGCAAGTTATCATTTGCCTTTGTTATCAATGACAATAAATTTTTTCCTATAATAGGGCTGTTTTTTTGATCATCAACTATTTTCTCAGAAATATTATTGACAA